TCCCCCGGTGGGACTACTCATCCCTGGACGCGGGTTAGTGTTCGGAAATCCTGCGTACCAGCTAACAATCCCCCGGTTGGATTGTTTCCCCGGTACATTAGTATGGAGAGAAGTATATTTTATGTTTATATATTTATAGTTATATGTATATATGTATGTGTGTGTGGTTACGGGTTGATGAGAGTTGCATATCTTTGGGAAATGAGTTGTGGATTTGAGATGTGGAGATATATTGGACTTTGGGATAATGTGTTTTGAGTTTTGGTTTCTGAATTGTGAAACTGCATGCTAGAGCATTATTTTTACATGGTGGGGTTATTATGTTGATTTAAAGTGCAAACTTTATTTTTGTCCACTCACATATTTCTGTTTTGCGCCCCCCAGGCAGTAGTTGCTTTTGGAAGCGTTCGAGCAGGTTGCGAGCTCCAAACTTTTCATCAGTTGTTAGGGTCTATGTAAATTCCTTCTACTCAACTGTTTGCTGTAAACAAATTCTGTAGATGCTCTGTTATCGCCCATGTTAGGTTGCTACTTGAGGCCGGAGGCCATTTTATGTTGGATTGTTGTATGTTAAAAACATGCTGGCAGTTGGAATATATCTATTATGTAAATTATGCAGGTTGAATATTGTTGGGTTTGAGCATTTTACAGGGGAGACTCTGCCAAAATTTTGGTAGGATGTCTTGGATTTTTAGTAATGGGCCCGGCATCAGTGTGATGTCGGCACCAAGATGGGGTCCGCCTCAGTTTCAGGGGAAATTCTGGGGCGGGTCCTGTCAAAATCGTTTTAATGGATGTATGAATTAATTTAGAAATTTATTTGAAATTAAATATTAAATTCAACATTAATGTATTAGTAATCTATAGGTGATTAACGTTTTGGTTTATTTAATAAAAAAATTATGTTGTTTTCCTTTTATGAATTATACGACTAGTAATCTATTTTATTATAGTTTTATGAATAATAGTGTACATTCTAATTATGTTAAAAAATAATTTGATAATCTATTTATTATTTGATTTATGAAATATTTCTCCAAATAATGTACTATAATGAACCTCTTTTTCTCTAAATTTTGTATCTATTTTTTTCTCTAAATAACGTACATATTACTTGTTTTATGAAAAATAATTTTTGTTTGTTTTATGATTTTTTTTTTTTTAAATGAACCTGTTTTGTTTTCCTCTAAATAATGTACCTATTTTTTTGCTCTAATAATGTACCTAGTAAGAAAATTTACCTAGGATAATGAACCCACACACCTTCCTTTATGTGATTACATTGAAGTCAAGGTCTTTGCGCGTTCACAACCCACACACCTTCCTTTATGTGAACCAAAACTACAAAGTCAAGGTCTTTTATTTCATACCACTATAACCCGTAGAAGAAGAGCCACCCATTGCCATGGAAACCTAAGGATGGTCACAGTTCATGCGAATAATTTCTGCACTAGCAAATTTTTTTTTGCTTTCCCACCCATTGTCATGACAACCTAAGGGCAATTACTATTCACATGAGATTAATAATAAAAAATTGTAGGTATTTATAACAAAAAATTCTGAAATTTTTGGTAATTTTTCAGAATTTTTTTTCAATATTTTTCCAATTTATTTCTTCACTCATCTCAGCACCTTCAGGCACTAGCTTAGGCTGGGCTTACCTTCAGGCATACCCAGTCTTGACGGAGCCCACGTCCCCTGCCCGGGCTGGAATTCATTGGTGGAGCGGTTTTTCCAACCCAAGGGACCTTTTGCCATGATAAAACCCCATAGGTGGCAATGCTCCTATGTTAACCAAAACTAATTAGTCAAGATT